GTTCAACACAGCTTACTGCTTCTGCATCCGCAGCACTGACAAGAATGAGAATGACCTTTTGCGCTCACAGGGTCCTTGTAGTGTCTGGTTAAACATCCCCGTTTTATAGATGAGGGGTCTGAGACTCAGGAGGGTTGAGTGATGCGCCCATATATCAGAGCTCACTCCTGTCCCCGGCCCTCTCCCCTGCCCCTCACTACAGGGGTGCGGACGCTGAGTGTGGCTGGGAAATGGGACTACAGCTTGAATAGGGCATCACTAAATCTCTCAACACGCAGGCCCTGCCTGAGAGTTCACGAGGAGTTGGATCATCCGCTGGCATCCTCAGGGTCAACGCTGAGGATGCAATATCCTTTCTCATATCTCTACGGTCTCACACTTCCAAGTCTAACTGGAGAACCGCCTTCGCTGGGCACTACACTGGATCCTGCAATCTGAACTCACCCAACTCCTTCCTCTGCTCTAATCAGACACTGCTTAGGACTCAATGTTTTTGCTATTTGGTTTGATGATTGGTTTACTAGCTTATTCCCATCTCCCACTGAGACAGAGGACCAGAGAGAGGGCACGGAGAGTAGGCTCCACACACAGAGGGACATTTTCCTTCACCAGTGTATCCAAAGCAGGGCGGCAGTGCCCAGCACACAGTAGGTGCTCACCAGGCTGCAGGTGAGTGAATTCTGACGTACAATGGTAGCCCGTAAACGTCCACATAGGTGGCATGCTGGCATGCCAAGGCACTTGGGGGGTGGTGGGGATAAAGAAACTTTACAAAGCAAACACCTTGCTTTTACTTAAGACCGGACCTTTACTATAAATGTAGGTATTGGTCAGGATTTGTGGGCAGTTCAAATGTTCTCCAGTGCCTGCCTGCCCACCCTCCATTGCCTTCGAGTGGTAACTCACTCCCACCCACCCCTTCCCTAGCCTCCATCAGGGCCTTAATTCACTGGGAGCAGAACAAGTGACCTAATGCACAAAAGATCGAATGAATAGATAGTCCTATATAAAGCCTTCCTAAGGTTGGTCTGTCTGCTTTGATCAACTGATGTCAGGATCCAGAATCAGTGTTCAAGTTAAAACCAAGAACAAAATGTGGAGGCCATGGTGGGAGCCAGGGCTGGGAAGCTTGAGTGCAGCGCAAGTGGCCAGAAAATAAACCCAGAAAGATCAGGCCACCCTGACAACATGCTTTCCATGGGAAGGAGGCTCCAGTACCCAGCAGGTGAACTATGAGCTTCCTGCTTTGAGAACTTTCTTGTGATGAAGTTGGAGCTGTATATTAGCCCGTTCATCGGTGAGGGGTCGGAGTGGGGGGGTTTGTGCCTGTCTGGAATCATCAGGTCCATGTGGCTGGGACCATGTACATGAGCACAGTGGAAACATGGAGGCCAGAAAGCACGGCCCTGCAGGCTGGGGCAGCCCAGGCCCCGAGTTCCAGGGCTGCTGACTCTGCCAGGTGGGGGGCTGTGGGCGAGCTTCGCCCCGCTGTGCCTCAGCTGTGAAGCAGGAAGGCCTTTCCACCCCTGAAATTCTATGACTTACGTCCCAGTCACAAAAAGAGCTTCATTGTAAAAGTAAAGGAATTTTCCACCTTGGAAAGGCATTAGTTAATACGTACATGAACTGGAGTTGTTTAAAAATATGTATGTGTATATATTTATTGGTATATTTACTAGTAAACTTCTACTAGTATATATTTACTAATACATTTTTATTTGAGCATAGTTGTTTTCCCAATAATTAGTAAAAAAAAAAATTTAAAAATCATAATTATGGTAAGTGGGTTATTTATAAATACAATATCTGCTCATTAGAAAGTTTTAAAAGCACTTGCTGCTTAATCCTGCTGCTACATCACAATATTTGGAATTGTGCTCAGAGTTTCTCGTGTGAGTACAGAAGTAGACCGTGCTGCAGAAACGAACATGTTCTTTTCTGTTAGGTCTGACAAAGGACCTGATGATATTTTTGTCATAGAAGAACATCCTCTTCTAGCTGGGTACAGTGGCTTACCCCTGTAATCCCAACACTTTGGGAGGCTGAGGCAGGAGGATCACTCGAGTCCAGGAGTTTGAGACCAGTCTGGGAAACACTGCAAGATCGCATCTCTACTAAAAATTTAAAAAATTAGCTGGGTGTGGTGGTGCGCAACTGTAGTCCTAGCTACTTGGGAGACTGAGGCGGGTGGATGGCTAGACCGTAGGAGTTTGAGGCTGCAGTGAGCCATGTTTGTGCCACTGCATTCCAGCCTGGGCAACAAAGCAAAATCCTGTCTCAAAAACCAACAAACAAAAACAAAAAACAAAACAAAAAAATCCCTCTTCTGCACCTTGGTTTCCTCATCTATAAAATTTGGAGGAATAGTGGATTTGAATCTGTTCACACCTGGGATGTAAAAGGTGGGATCCCACACACTCATTTTGCTTCTCTGTTCAGGGCCAACAGAGCAGCCAGCTCTGCTGAATATGCCATGCAGTGGCCCTTTCTGCAACATAGGAGGCCTTCCCAAGCAGCAAGGAGACGACCCAGGCATGAACAGACACTCTTTCCTAGCACCAACTGGCTGCCACCTAGCATTTCCCTGAGATGCTGAAAAGAATGGAGGGCCACACATATCCACAAGGATGTCCAGTGGAGATGGTCTAAGGGCCCTCTTCCTGGGTACTTGAAGTTAAAACGGCTTCCTACTGGCTTTGCAGAAACGCCATAATCTTCACATTAACGACGGGAGGTAGTAACTTCCCCACTCCACAGAGGAGCCAATGGAAGCTCACAGAAGCTGGTAAGTAATAAAAATTCCAGATCGCCAAAGCTCTTCACAATGATTATCTTTCACTGTCAGAAATATGGGGTCCTTGCTGAGTGGGCCCTAGCACGTCTCTGCACGCCAGGCGCCATGCTGGCAACCTTCATTCACTCACTCCTGGGAGCCGCAGTTCACCTCTGGGAGGTGGATACCAGAAAAGCTCCATTTCGCAGCAAGGTTTCTGCAGATACAGAACTTACTGTCAGTGTGGGTCATGGAAAAACTTACAGCTGAACAGACTGGGGATGACATCCCCATTCTGGCCCAAAGTCGAGATTTCAACTCTTAAGCATCGATCAGTCATGTCATCTACAAAATGGGGACGAACACTTGGGTACCACAGTGAGGGGTACCTTACCCCAGACCTTGGAGAATAAAACTCATATGGACACTTCAAAGACAAGTGTAGAGAAGCCAAATTAAAGAAACAGAATGAGTCTCCAGCCAGGAAGATTCAAGGATTGCTTGACTGGGTATCACCGGCATGTATTAAAAGCTATAGTTAATCGTGTGTGTAATTTTAATGTGTCTCCCCTGCTAAGCTGTAAGTTCAGGGGCACAGGAACCCAATCCATCCTTCTCTACCTTTGTCCTGGGCACCTGGTCACATGACAAGCACTCAATAAATGAATGAACGAGACGGAGCTAAGGAAAGAATGTGTCAATCAGAGAGGTCAGCCAGGAAAATCCAGATAAATGAGGCTGATGTCACAGTACTATCCAAGCTCTGGCCAGGAGAGGACCTGCTGGCAAAGAGCCTGCTACTAATAACACAGATACCTGGAGGTGTGTGCCCAGGCTGGTCACGCTCAAACATTCTGCGCCCTCGGGCTACTACTTGTAATAAGATGAATGAACTGGCCTCTGGGGTCACACCAGGTCTGTGAGCTGGTATGAGCTAATTCTGTCAAGGAATGAGCCTGCTCTTGCAATGTAGCCAGACCCGGGGCCACAGCAGGTAGGTCAGGCGAAGAGAGCTGCCCCACTACATCTCTCTGGGCAGCCCACTGGCCACTAGATAGATGGTCCTTAAACCTCCGAGCTGCAGGATTTGCTGCTACTTTTTCTAGAACACCTACTTTGCAAGGTTTGGCTGCAAGGATATAAATAATGAAAAAGACCAGCTCAAAGTGTGTGCTTAACAAACAGTGCCATGACTATTGCTCCTTAAGGCACACATCTCATCAATGACTGAGTCAGGATTCCACGAATAAAGATGTGCTGTTTTCTGTCCCATGCAGCTGACAATGAAGAGTGCAGATAAGGACCACGGTGAATCGAACAGGCTAAGTCTAGCAGATCTACAGGAGAAAGGGGAGGTCATGATGAGCAGGAAGGCCTGGGGTGGAGCTCATGGAGACGGTGGAAGATGAACACACGGCGAATCAGCACCAGTGGCCATACTGGGGACAGTGTCACATGTCTGTGGTGTGGCTGACACAATGACCAGATGCCACAGCCAACATCCCATGATGCTTGATGTCTTACACAGTGAACTGTCCTGCCTTCGGTACTGGTGGCAGCCTGATGACAGACACCGGATGCATGGAAAGGCGAAGGGAGCATGAGGTCTAGATGCAGAGGAGGAAGGAATATGGGGTTCAGGGATGGCGATGAAGAGCAGAGGCTTTGCAAGGACGGACCCTCAGGTACTTACTTTTTGTCAGAGTAAAAGGAGGGGCTTGTTGATCTAGAGAGGGAAGCATTCCTCTGACCTGTAGCTAGTTACCTAATCTCTGGTCCTGGGACCTTTTTGCTTTGATGTTTCTCTGTGGTGGCAGCTCCAGCTTGCTGGTCAGTTTCCAACCCCAAACCCAAGATGCAAGGGGGTGGGATGGGCACAGGGTTTGTTCCAATTCCTTCCTTGACCTACCTTTTTTCCAAAGGTTGGCATGGCCCTGTGGAATATGGTGGGCCCCGTGATGTTCTTGCTTTACAGTATTGGATAAGGTAACAAAATGTAGATTGAGAAAGAACAGGCGACAGGATGGGGACACACACACACACAATGAGGAAGCTTTCTGGCTGAAAAGAAAGTGGAACATCTTTTTATCGTTCCAATGTACAAATACTGAATTTGCAGTGTCCAAGCAAGGCAACTTCTTGAAAATGGAAAGGATGACCACATTATGTACATTGGTGTGAGAACTTTTCACCCAGAGGACTACAAAGCATGCATGCATATACATACCCGACTTGGGTACTGTCGCGATACGGCAGCACTGAAAATATACTGCAGAAGGATCTTCTGCCGCTGATAAGGACTATTCTAAAAAGTAAAAAAAAGAACAAACAACAAACACACTAAATGCAAAGACTCCAGCTAAAAAACAAAATCTATAGCAATTAAGCATTCATGGCATTCATAGCAGTATCTGCACGCTCCCACCACCTCCTCTGGCAGATGGTATTCTGCTCTCCTTGCAAAATGCAACCCCAGCAGGGCAGAAGTGGCTGCCTCTCCTCATCCCAATATTAACATGTGAGACAACAGCAAGGGTCACTAATGAGTACACCTGCACCCCTTCTCCTGCAAGACCTGCTTGCTGTGGGCTGCACATGCAAGAGGGAGCAGACAGAGCTAAGTCCAGGGTGGCCAGGGCTGGGTGAGCAGTCATGCCACATTTAAACCACTGATTTCTATTTTGCAGTAAACAATGCAAGAGCAATAGCGCCAGAAACTATGAGCAGGAAAGACACTCAGAGGCCATTATGACCATTCGATTTTTCATCTGCTGGCAACATGTTAGGTTCTGAGAATAGATTAAGGGAACAATTACATAATCAGTCTTAGCCTCCATTCCTGCTATAAAGATACTACTGGAAACAGTTCTACATGATGGTCTTATGCAATCAAAAGCCACTTAAAAAAAACATTAAAACAAAAACAAAAACCCTCAAAGCACTTATCCTGGCATCTGAGAATAACTTTTGCCAAAGGGAATTGCTGATGAAAAACTGGAGAAATGAGAGGAAGAGATTTACAAACAACATTCTTTGTAGCACCAAGTCAATACACATCATATAAGGAAGCTTATTTCCTTTTGTCATCCTTTCTTTCGACAACCATAATAAGACCAGGGAAAATGGTGCTACTACATGCATCAGGGTTCGGGGATTTCAACTCTGTTGTAAAACTCAGAAATCAAATTGTCCTGGGATGGAGTCCGGTTCCCTGGCATGGCAAAGCAGGCCCTGTGTCTCCTGGTTTCTGTCTCTCCAGTTTCAACACCCACAGAATTCCCCCGATTTTACCATCCTACCGATGCTGAGGCACTGACAGCACCCCCACCTGAACAAAAAGTCTCGCTGTTTTATACTTGTGTTCTTTGCATGCTATTTCTTCTGCCTATATGCCCCACCTTGAAACACCCAGGGAACTCCTATTCATTCTTCCAAACCTAGCTCAGAAGTACCCTCTCCACGCAGTGTTTCCTGCCCCTCTTCATGGAGTTACTTGTTCCCTTTTTGGTAACTGTCTCCAATTCCCCATTCACACGTCCAGGAGGGCACGGATGTGATCCACACTGCTAATCACTTTCCTCCCTCCTTTACTAGAGGGTGAGTCCAGGCAGGGGTTTAGTGCGTGGTGGCCCCTCCGTCTATGTACGTATATTAGATGGCACTGAAATGCAGCGTGGGCCTCAGAGCAGCAACACTTGAGTATCCGTCATGGGAGGGCAGGGCTGCAGGCGTCCTATGCAACCAAAAGCCACTTTCGGCTTTTGACACTTTTGGTGTCAATTCCACAGCAGTTCATATCCACAGGTTAATGGGTTGGGACCAAAGTAACACACTCAGCTTCGAACACCAGCATCACTTTTGTTTGACCTCGGTCAGCTTGCTAACGCTTCTGAGCCTCACTCTGCCCTTCTAAGAAATGCGATAAAATTAGTAACTATCTTATTGGAAAGCTGTAAGAGTACATGAGTCCATACTTGGAGAACCCTCAGAACAGCAACTGGCAAATAGTACACACTCAATAAAACCATCTTTACTGCAGATGGGCTGCCTGGGTTAGGATTCAGGTTTTCCAGCCTAGTCCATGGACTCAGAACCTCTTCAGCCCTCTGTGCTAAATACCCAGGCCTGCTCAGACCTGAAAGCTGTGCTGCCAGGACAGCTGAAACACCCCATGCACGGGGTCTTTCTACATCGGTGTAGCATGAGATGTACACAGAGATGCTGCTGAAGGGAGATGCTGCTCATCAGATACCCCAGGCCCTGATCCTGGTCACTGTCGAGGACAGAGCGTCATGTCCAGAGTGGACTGTCAAGGCCTAAAGGGCCAGGGGTTACATGAATCATGAGCACACCCTGCTGAACACCAGCCACGCTCCTTGGGCTCACCTGCATGGAGCCCAGCAACAAAGCTTCTCACGCTGCAATGCCCTGTAAATTCACCTACAGAGACCTAACAGCCAATACGTATTAAGTACTGATTGTGTGCCAAATTCTAAGTGCTTTAACTGATGAGGCACGTCAAGTCAGCGACGTACCAAAGGAGATGCACCGGCAGGTGGGGCGGGGGGAGACTGGAACTTGAGTCCTTTACCACTACCGATGCCCTTCCCTAAACCTTGCTAGAAAAGCCTACCCCTTGGGGGCGTGACTGGGGACCCACGCACTTCTTGGATACTAATAAGTCTGCCTTCATCCACGTGTTCTAGGCCGGCTTTCCAGCCTGGCCTGTGGGTCACCACGCCCAGTGCAGGGAGGCGCAAGAGGGTGACAGATCACACATCCCTGACCTTGGAGCTGCTGGGGCTGGGGAGGCCTGCTCGGCCTGGACCCCTCCCCAGATGGAAGGGCAGAGGCTCTCCACACCCTCACTGCCACTCCCTGCCATCTACCCAGGACTAAGGCCTGGAGCGACTCATTCCCGTGTCACTGGGCATCCGTGTCCTCTGCAACACAGTGGCAGGAGTGTGTTGAACAAACTCCACCGGCTTAGTGATGCTGCATTTTCATCACTACTGATGCTAAGGTGTCCTTCCTTCCCACACACTAAACTTGTTTGGACGTTTTTAATAGAACAAGAAAATGAAGAATATAAATGCGAGTGCAATCCAAGTCTTCTTCCCAATCTTTCAGCCACAAGATGCCTATCAGTAAATGGGCTACTTGTTCTATTAAATGAGCACTCACTCTGGGTGGTCCGCACCACTATGTGTAGGAGAGGCTGAAAACATGGTACTCATTCCAGAAAAACACGTTATTTTACTGCAGAGGTCAAGTTTAGCAACTATGAATATGGACCGTTTCTCAACAATTCCAGTAGAGTTGCTACTTCCCTGGTTGGCCAGTCTCAAGCGGCTGGAGGGAGGAGGAAGGGAGTAAGGCATGTCACATCTTTGGGCTCTTCCCCTCCCTTCTCCAGTCATTTCATGCACCCTCAGTTTCTGCAGGGGCCAGGGGAGGAATTCACAGCAGAGACCCGCACAGAGGCTCTGGCTCTGTAGCCGGTTTGCCAGTGGAGCTTCCAAGAACACATCATACGAGTTTCCTGAAGTAGTTCTGGCATCTGGGAGGGACTGCAGGTGTGAACCACAGCGGGCAAGTAGCAGCAAGTGATGGCTCCCGTCTTCTTGGCTTCTTACACTGGGAAACCCTGAACAGTGTGGTTCTGACAACGGGTCCCCTGTGATCAACCGTTACGTTTAGAACCTGTGGGGTTCATGTGAATTTGCAGCTTTTCTCTTTATAAACATTAGGGAAATGTTCACGGTAATGGAGATACACAAGAAGAGAATCAGATGTTTGCCTCCCGGAAGGTACATCTATTATCCGAGAAAGAGTTCCATCAGATGACACGAACAAGCACAGTCCACTTCCGCTGTCAGACGCTGACCACCCTCACGTCTTTGCCTCCAACCTCGGCGGCTCTCTTCTCGGATGCCCAAATGGCATATGCAAAAAGCCCAAATCATCTCCCCCACCTGTGACGTACAACATTTTACTTGGGAGTTAAGATGACCAGAAAATATTACATGAAAGATTATGACTTCAAAAGAGGAATTAATTCCAGGGAGATGGATCTTTAAGGAATTAAAGGTCACATTTCCACATGAACATCTGCCAGAGGAAAAAAATAGCAAAGGAAAACATTCCCTGGGGCTACAGCCCACATGGACAAAGCATCTTGGATACACAATGCTTCCTGAAACGGCCAGGGATCCCCATGAGTGCTCGGAAGCTGAAGGAGCACCGTCCAGCTTTCTTCTTCACGCAGCCTCATTGCCACGCTCTTAGGAAAGCGCTTCTGGTATGAGGGATCTTACAGCTTCGGACCACAAAGCTTCCACAGCCACAATTAGCTCCCAAGACGCTGAGTGTCCAGAACAGCCAGGAGAGGCACAAGGACACCACCTAGGTGACAGAGCACCACGGGCCACTTTTCACCAAATCTCCTTTTACCCCCCGGCCCAGCACTGGCGATGGCTGAAACGGCAATGTCTCTCACCAGCCAGGATCCTCAAGTCTTTCCTCCTTTGCCAAAACACCAGAGGCCTGTTCTATTTCCAGCCCCCTGGGGAGTCTCTGTTGGTTGTGAGAAGGTCTCATCTCTTCCAGGTGAAATGTTCCATTACAACAGAAACATTCTCTTGAGGACATAAAAACAAGCAACCGACTCCAGGAGGCAGAGGAAAGAAAACCACATCTGCCATAACGGGGAGGTGAACACAGTGATGCCCAAACACAGCCCCGCAGCGTCCACAGCCCAGGGGTCTGTAATCGGCACTAGGCACACATGCGAAACTTCTGTGGCTCATTTCCTCCACGCCCCCGAGGCAAGAAAGAATACGCCTACAAAGCTGGTGTTCTGGGTTCAACTGTGCTCCCCAAATGACATGTTGAAACCCTAAGCCCCAGGACCTGCGGCTGTGGCCTTATTTGTAAATACAGTAGTCTCCCTTATCCATACGGGATGTGTTCCAAAACCCGCAGGGGATGTCTGAAACCACAGATAGCACTGACGCCTGTATGTACTATGTTTTTTCCTTTGCAATCACTTCATATAGGGCAGGTAGTGAGACCATGTAGATATGCTGGACTAAGGGCTGACTCATGTCCCAGATCAGAGTGGGAGGGCAAGAGATTTCGCCATGCTACTCATGCAATCTAGCACTTATGAATTGTTTGTGGAATTTTCCATTTAACATTTTCAGACCATGCGGTTGACTGTGGACAAGAAGGGATTGCTGCAGTGTCTTTGCAGATGTTATCAAGTAAGGATGAGGTCCTACTGGGTCAGAGTGGGCCTTCAAT